CATTGGAAGTGACGGAAGCACCATCGTGGTGACTGGCGTCGCTATCCTCATCGAGATTGCTATTGCTCAAGGATGACTTGGATTGATGCCGAACGCTGAGATCCCTAGGCGTTGAAGGTGGACTTCCAGGTGGTTCTTGTGCCGGCAGACCCGATGGGTGTACCTTACTCGAAGCACTCGCAAGGATATCGGTGATCATGAACCTCGATCTTTGAGGCATCGTCGTAGAGGCATTACCTCGTGGTAAACTGTTACTATGATTATTGTTGTTATTGTTATTGTTATTATGACTCTTATTTCTGGCATCAAGACCATTTGAAAGAAGTTCCATGCCTACTCCATTTCTATCGACGATATTGTCCAGGCTATGGGGTTCCAGGCCGGACATTCTGCTGAGATTGAGACCGTTCCCGGCGACGGCGACACCACTGAGAGCCGCCACGTGGTGGTTCTGATGATGGTGGACCGTCATTACGGTGGACGTCGGTGGTTCCTTCGGGCTACGGGCACCCGTTGGTACCTCTGTCGCCACGCCAGGACTCGTCCGGTACCTGGGAGAAAGAATCTTGCCGATAATCGAAACGTTTTCTTCACCAGGAAGTCACGACCACCTTTTTAGCTATCAGCAAAATAGCTATATCGAAATTTTACGAGTTTATTTCGAAGAAACCTTTTTCTTTTTCACCATTCACTGTATCCAATGTCTTGATCGCGTAATCCCAATTTCTCGAAACTCTTCGGGATCGTGACGATCTCGACGAACATTCCAAAATTAGTCGACGCCGATCAAACGATGATCTTCGATAGCTGAAGACAGGGTCAAAAAACTTTGTTAATTCTAATAGAGTAACACAATGATGGCATGAAAACGACTCGATTCCAAAAAATATATTAATTTTCAAAATGAATCCATCGAATCTTTCTATAAAAGATAAATAAAGTTGACGGTCGATAGATCATTTACATTGACACCGCATCAACGAGGAAAGTTATCAAATAACTCCTCGTTATACCTTGCACTTCCTCCCGTACGTCAGCTCGATCGCTCCACCTCCGGCGGCTTGACCACCACCTTCGTCTCGAATGCAATTAAGGGGCCGCTCGGCTCGGCTTCTTGCTTAATTGCTAATTGCCCACTTAACATAATTGCCGCACGGAGTTGCACGCCCGCCGGCCATTTCCGCTTTCCTTTTCCTTCTCCTTTTCCTTACCCGCGCAATTATTAATTATGATTTTTATGTAAGAAACGAATCTCGCGATAAGATAGACCAAACTCGCTATCTCCTCTCACTTATTTAACAATTCGACGATTAAGCTTCTCTCGATTCCATGATTCGATAAGCTTCGATCAGATTCTCCAATCTTTTCTACGATCGTTTTTTTGCAATATCAAGTTCGACTCACTTGAGGCTCACTTTTTAACACTGTTAGAAAGAACACTAATCAAGTTCCAATCTTCAGATTTCGATCGTTTCGAAGACGCAATCACTTTCTCGAGCGGATCTTTTACATTTTTATATCGTCGATTGTTATTTTTCGAAGCACATTCACCGGTCATCGAACTGGCACGATTATCATAGGTTCATTATTATCAAACGATGTCCTCTATTTTATTCACATATACACACGAAAATAGTCTTGTCCCATATTAATCACATTCGAATCACTAGCATACATAAATATATCTTCATATATATGTATATATATATATATATATGTGTGTGTGTGTGTGTGTGTATCTATAATAATTATCTTTATATTGGTTTATAGAGTGTGATATCGATTATGATTACGAAAAGGAGGAAAAAAAATTTAGTTAAGAAGAAGAGGAAGAAGAAGATACAAAGAAGAAGAAGAAGAATAACAACGAACGATATCGAATCACGAGGCGTACGTATACATCGAGTTGCCTCGACTGGTCTGTCCGGACTAAGTCTTCGAGGCGCCTCCACTCGTTCCTGGGCGGCCATATCGAGTCTCTGGCACGCCCTGACTTCACCCCACCACAAATTCTTATCGACCAATCGAATGGCACGACGTTAAGTAGCCAGCGAATCGGCGTCAGAGCAACCTCGGCGCCTCTTCTACGTGCCGCGGCTACGCCCAAGTAATTTGAAATGTGTTTCAGCGGTAATTCGATATAAAATTGTAGTTAATATCTTTCATTATAGTAGGGAGGAAAGGGGGGAAGGTATTGAGGAGGCAACGGCGCTCTCCTCGTGCGTCCGGAGAACGAAAGAGAAGAGTGGGGAGAGATTGAGTGAAAGGGGGGAATGAGGGGAGGTGGCTGGGACCACGGGACGAGGGGTGGGAGCTGCTCGACGCGAGTTTCTCCCACTTCTTCGGCAGCTTCTCTTCGAGATGGGCTACCGAGTAGTCCAAACGGGAGGAGAAGAGAAAAAGAGAGAGAGAAAGAAAGAGAGAGTGAGAGGCTAGGGACCACCTGGAAGGGGGTTGAAGAGAGCCATCGAGAGCCAGAGAAGAAAAGGGTGGGAGATCGAGGGAAGGGTGTTAGCCTAGCTCGGAGTTACCCGGCGAATTTACGAATTCATGAGACCATCGAAGGAAAAGAGAGAAAGAGAGAGAGACAGAGGCCACTCCCGTCGAGGAACACTTTTTACGATGTGGTTTTCATGCCTTTCGTCGATCGTTGAACAATCGCCCGATCGTAGAAACGATTTTGCGAGAAGTAAAAAAGCGACGCGAGTGTGATACCGATTGTCTCTTATCGATCGAATCTCCACGTACGATCTTTTTATTCGTTTTGTTAGTAACGATGTCTCTTTCCGTTACGAATTTACGACGTTAACGACGACGCGTTTGGAAATGCAACGAGCATTGGCAGTGAGTAAGACCACTTTTAAATCGAATTAGTTACGCTGGAGTTGAGAGGAATGAAAGAATCATCGAAATTAGGAAGGGTGCCTGGTGACATCATTTCATTAAATGGGGTGGCCATCTCTTTGATCCGTACCTGCCGGCTACGATGTGGCCCATATGGTACATCCGGTATTGAAGACCTTGATGACCATCTAATGTTTTAAATACATAGATACATATGTATGTATATAATCCATTCATAATAGATAAATTAATCAATCAACATCATCAATAAATTAATGTCACCATAGACGAATGTATGAACTTAAACAATATATATATATATATATATATATATATATATATATCTATGTTGTTTAAACATTTATATATATATATATATATATATATATATATATATATATACTGTTGGTATATCTATATAATATGTAGGAGTATTCCCGCGTTCGCAAATTGGAAAAGGGAAAGATTAAACGAGTCTCAGCGATATGAGCACGCATGCGTAACACAGTATTCTAATCGTTAACTCTGAACGAAATACGAGGATAAGATTCCCTTACACTATTCTCGCGTCTCGCATATCATAACAGTTGCTATCCTTTCTCGAAGGTAAGAAATACTCGTACGATCGTTGTACACACATACATAGAGTATACATTTAAACATTTATATGTATATATATATATATATACATATATATATACATATATATATACATATATATATATATATTATATATTGTATGTATAGAACTAATACCTGTATGTATTCGTGTGTTCGCAAGAGCTTACAGTAAGCGAATTATTGAATAAAACATGAGAGAGTTAGCCGTGAGTGTCGCGACTCGAAGGCGACGAAATGAAAAGTTAATGGCGTTAAAGAGCGCGCTTATCACTCGCCAATTAACTTCCAGCAGAGAAAAAGCCTCGGCACTTCGCTTCCACTTCCGTTTACACTTTTAGCAAGTAGCGAACGCCACCTTCTCTCTTCGTTTACTTCTTTCTCTCTTTCTCTTTCTCTCTCTTTCTTTCTCTTTCTCTCTCTCTCTCTATCTCTCTCTTTCTCTTTCTCTCTCTCTCTCTCTCTCTCTCTCTCTTTCTCTCTTTTTCTCGTACCAACGGGGTTGTTTCTCTCAGCATGAGACGCGACTCAAATATATTAATATGAATGCGTGGTGTTAATATACGTAGAAGAAACGCATCAGCCCCCAGGATATTTCTCGTTTAAATATACATGAGAAGTCGCGCGAACCTCCCTCTCGCTAGGACGGCGCCGGCCGAGTCGAAGTGAAAAGTTAAAAGCGTTAAAACTGCCTCTTATCGAGTTGCCAATTAAGCCTCATGAATCGTAGAAGCTACTTCTTCTACGATGATACCCTTGTAAAGAGAAAGAAAGAAAAAAGAAAGGTGAGAGAAAAAATAAATGGACTTTTTTTCAAAAGAAATATTTATAGATATTCTTTCCTTTTTCTCTTGTCTTTTTTTCCTTTGTTTCATTCTATCTTTTTTATTTTTTATTTTATTTCTTTTTTTTTTCTTAATAGGAATTATTTTACAAAATATCTACAAGATCATAACAACGTAACAGTTTTTAACATTAAAGATATTTAATAACGTGTGACCAGTGTCAAGACGAGTAATTCAAGATAATAGCATTGTTTTCATCTACCCTTTTATTTTGGCTGGCTTCCTGGGATTTAGAGGGTTGCAGATAAAATGACAAAAACCTACCTGTTTTCTTTGGTATCCTTTACAAATGTTGCAATGGAATGACCAGAGTCGTGTATCGAATACCATTCGAAATCCATTCGAAACTACGTATCGAAATCCTGTGTTTTGTATGTATCTACGTCAAAGACTGATCTTGTAATCATATTACAACGAATGGTATGAGAAAGGTTTATACTTAAACACGTTTTTTCGATGGCTTCTATTTTCAAATACTATTTTCAAATTGCAATGGAAAATGTTCGTTTCCTTTTTCTTCTCTTATTTATTGTTATTATCATCGATTATCAAAATAACGATCATTAACCATTAAATTAATTCAACATTCCATAAAATTTCATAGTACCCTTCGTTCGCATTATATCCATGAAATCATTAACGAAATCATTCGTTACACCAGGTAACTTATCGCGAAAAGACGTAAAAAATTTAGTTGGAAGCGTGCTGTTGCCTGGCAGCTGCTACAAAACGAAAGGAAAGTGTACAGTAGAGGTCGACATACGATAAAAGTCGTGGAATTAACGATCCCTTAAAACGCTCGTAAAATTTCTGAAGATAAGGATCCACCTTCGACTCACCTCTTTCGTCGTGGCTGCCTCTATCGGTTTGTATGTAAGCTATAGGTACGTGTATAAATGTGTATACTTACGTAGCCGTGAACGAACAAATTACACCTACACAAAGGATACCTTTCTTGATACTCACGAGTGGTTTCCAAAAATGTGACTTTTAGTAGGTGTACACATACATAAAGAAAAATAGTATCATATCTTGTAAGTATGTATTTATCTATGTGTTTGTACATAAGAATAGAAAGAGAAAGAGAAATAGAAAGAGAGAAAGGAAAGGAAAGAGAATGTACACAGAAAGATGGAGATAGACCAACACATAATCACACACATATACACAGTAATAGTATAGTTACACGCATACAAGAAGCTATCCTGTGCGATTCGTCGTGTGTACCGGTAAAATGAGCGTGAGCAAACATGTTGAACGAGGTGTACACGCGCGAATAATAAGTACGCTTGTATGTATGTGGGCCTTGCTCGTGTAGTAGGTAGGTAGGTACGGACCTCATACCGTGTCCAATGCATATTCATACGGTCATACATTATAGCGCACAGTGCACGGCCCGCAGTCCGGGGCTCTGATCTTAGATTAAGGTAAACGCCGGTTAAGTTAACGGCTAAACTTCCATAAGTCGGAAGACGTTCGCATGCGCATCATGGTGCAACGCAAAGATGCGCTTCTTCTTTATCTCTCTCTCTCTCTCTCTCTCTCTCTCTCTCTTTTTTATTCTCTTTTTCTTTTTTATCATCATTCTCTTCCATCCGTTCACTTTTCCATTTTATTATCCACTTTCGTCGCAGTGAACTTACATGTTATATAGATAGATATGTATATACATACAGAATATATATAAGTGTAAATACATAAGTACACGTTTTAGTCCGCTTAGCAACTCGATTCGATCTCATAACGTTTCGTTGTTACATTAAGCGCTCGTTAAGCTTGAGATGTTAGCTTAGAAATTTCTTAGTACGTGTTCGAAAGAGAAAAAAGAAGAAAAAAGAAGAAAAAAGAAGAAAAAAGAAAAAGAATTGGAAAGATCGATTAGATCGAATTTAATTGGCTTTATGATAGATCTTGATCAAATAGAAATGATTCCAATGCCTCAAGCATAAATACGATTTGTTAATATCCTTTACTTTTATGCTCGTTATGGAGGGATTCACGTAAGATATTCGACTTTTCACGGAGGGAAGAAGCGCACACGGGAAGTTAATTAAGTCAAACATAAAGGAGCCGCTTAATAAACGCGAGTACGCGAGAAGCGAGAGAAGCGGACGTTACCTAAAGCGAGTGCCTTGCTAAATCGCCGATTCATCATCACCGATTTCGAAAGGTATTCGTTACTTTTCTGCTCGCATGAATTACAAGAACGTTGAGTTATTCTGCAACTAATGTAATTACGTTTTATATATCTACGTGTGTTTAGGAAATCTTATTAGTTAAACTTATTACCTATCGAATGGATTATAATGAGTAGCAGGATATTAGGTAAATTGAGAAGTGTTTGAGTAAGAATATATCCAAGACGAATGAAATACATAAAATATAGAAAAAGAAAAAGAAATATTAATAATAATAATTATAATAATAATAATAATAATAATAATAATAATAATAATAATAATAATCATAATAATAATCGAGTAAAAAAATATGATTCTAAATGAATTGAGTGGAATTAAATCAGTAGTAGTTAAAAAGTGACAAACGAGTGATTAAGAACGTTTCCTTCCTTTAACGATTTGGACACCCTCGAA